AATGATGGCAGCAATACATCTAAAAAAAGTTAGGAAAGGGCAACAAAAAGCTGGCAAAGTAAGTGGTACTTGCAAGGAAGAGCTGGAGGAAAACGGTATAAAGCATCGTGGAGTCAGAGTTTCTCAGAAGTAAAAAATAGGCAGAGTTCACCAATCCGGGGAAAAGCAGTGTCTAACAATTGTCAAAAAATTTCACAATAATGTTCCTCAACATAAAGTTGCAAATACTTAAATATATCATCGTCTGCAGTACATAATATCATTAAAAGATTCATAGAATCTGGAGAAATCTCTGTGCACAAGGGAAAAGGCCAAAACGCAATATTGCATGTCCATGATCATCAAGCCCTTAGAAAGCACTTAATCAAAAACAGGCATAATTCTGTGATGGACATCACTCCATGGGTTCACAAATACTTCCATACTGGCATAAATTAACGCAATCCATTGTATACAATTGTCTTGTGATATGCTGTGATTGGTTACAGTGATCACAAGGCAGCGGCAGCGGCCGGTATGCTGATCGATCATCTTCTGTGTTCACCGGACACAATGGGTGACAGATCTTGTCATAGCATGGCCTGTGGGGCGCGCACATTCCTGGAGGATATCATATGACGCCCACTCGGAACAGTAAATGTCACATACAGCTGTCATTTGACTATAGGTGAGGTGGGGTGGGAAGTGGTTAACTGGTGTACCTCCAGTCCAGATCTTTCACCAGCTGAATATATTTGGCACATCTTGAAACACAACAAAGACCCAGGACTGCTAGATTCCTCTATCAGGCATGAAAGAGACAACATTCCTCTCCCAAAATCCAGCAACTGGTCTTTTCAGTTCCCTGGCATTTATAGAGTGTTGTTAAAAGAAGAGGAGATGCAACACTGAGGTAAACGTGACCCTGTCTCAAATTTTTTTTTGAGACATGTTGGTGCCATCAATTTCAAAATTACCTTATTTTTTTCTTTAAATGGTACATTTTCTCAGTTTAAAACATTTGATATATTTTCTTTTGTTAAATGTAGATTTTACACAGTGCCCCAACTTTTCTGTAATTGGGGCTGTATGTTCATAAATGTCATTCAGAAATAACAGCAATAGTTAACAACTTACCTGCATTCTAGCGGAAGAGAATGAGAGATTTTTCAAGGGTAACAAAAGGTGGTTATTTCCAGATAGAAGAATGGAGGCGAAATGCACAGCTAATCCAAAGATAGTAGTTGTATGACCCTCTCATGCCACGAACAGCCCGAAGGAATGGCCGGTTATTGCATAGCAGTGTCTTCAAAAACTGGTTTTAGAGATCTGTCCTTGAAATATTTGGCCTTTTGTATAAAATCCATCACAGATTCGTGTTCCTGTGTCAGACATATTAGAGAAGGTATTAATTACCCAAGAGTGCACTAATAATTGGCTGTGAAAATGTAAGGTAAAATATTCTACAGGAGTTTAATGTATATTGCAGAAGCTGGAAGTGAAAAACATTTAAAGCAGGGAAATCTGCAGTTTTGCTGCAGCTGCCCCATCTACTGCTTATACTTTTCTTTCCCTTAGCTCCCCCGGGCAATGTTGTGATATACTTCGTAATTCTGGGTATTAGCGAGGTGGGTGGTGTGATTTACTTTCCTTTCTCCCTTGTGTCAACGCTGTTGTCTAGGACTTGTGTTTGCTGTGGACTCTCTCTTTTTATCCCTGTTCATGTGTAAGTGCAGGGTTCCTAAATGCCATTTGCTAAATGACTTATTTCAGTCCTTGCTGTGGGCAAAAAAGATAGGGGATACCTAATGTAGGGGCAGGACCTACATATGTGTTTGCATTTGTGCATGAGCACAAATAACAGGGGGCGTTTTTACATTTTTTAAATTATTTTAATTATTTTTAATTTACTTTTTTTTTTTTACACTGTCGCTTTACATTTTTTTTTTTAGATCAACCTTGTTATCACAAGAGATGGAACAACATGCCTTTTGATAGCATGGGCAGTGACAAGTACTCTTTACTGAGAGATCTCTCCTCTGCTCTCAAAATTATCTGACCAAACCGAGATCAATTTGATCAGATGCTTTACAAGCCACGTAACAGCTTGTAAAACAACCAAACAAACTGAAACCCTGAATTAATTAAATCTTTGTTGCTTCCAGTTTCAATCATCACGGGGGGGTTTTTACAGATGATGTAAATTTCCTTCACTCTGTGTTTTTACCAGACCCCAGGATCACACTGGAGAGCTTGGTGGCAGTCATTCATCAGAAGCCCCTTTCCACACCCTGGAGAAGTGGGTGGCTCTAGATTCACTTGGATCATTCTATAGTGATGTTTCTTGTCCTGAGCCACCAAGAGATGGTGTCAAACTAGTGGCCCTCCCAGCTGTTGCGAAACTACAAGTCCCATCATGCCTCTGCCTTTGGAGGATCATGCTTGTAACTGTCCAGTCCTTGCAATGCCTCATGGGACTTGTAGTTTGGCAAGAGCTGGAGGGCCCACCAGTTTGACACCTGTGGTGTAGATAGTTTCCCTAAGGGGATGATCAGAAATGACAAAAAAAAAGTGTCAGTTCTGCAGTAGCTGAGAGGTAAACCGACACAGTATAAACAACATCCAGGCAATGAAGATAAATTTTTTTAATGTTCTGGGAGCCGGACAGAGAGATGGAAAAACATGTCCCTGGCTGAGAGAAAAGGCTGGATTCACCTTAAGAAAAGAGGATGCTTTGGTCCGTAAAACCACCCTATCTTTGTTTAAGATCAAAAATATTTTTATAAAAGAAGGCTGCCAACAAATGCCTAGCAGATCTGATCACAACAAGAAATGCTAACTTGTGAATTGAGAGTATATAAGAGAATATCCCTGGTCCAGGGGCAGATTTTTCTAAGGCCAAGAGAACTAGATTCAAGTCACAAGGGTCACAGGTGATTAAACAGGAAGAAATCCTGGGTAGACCGCATATACAAAAAATCTTAACCAAAGAATAGGAGGCTAGTTGTATTTGGAATAAGATTGCACAGTCAAATGCTGACCCAGGTCCAACTGTAAGCTATCAAGTTTTTCCTGGAGTGAAAACTTCTTTCCTCACATTAGGCAAAGTATGCCTTCCATATGCAATGGTATACCTTGCAAAAGGCACACATCTTAGCTTTTAATAGCATGGGAATGGCCAGTTCAGAGAGATTTATGTCTCTAAAAATCTGGGCTCCAACAAGCAATGCCACTAAAGCTAGTGACTGAAGCAGGGCGGTGGGCCAGTCCTCAGGATAGTGGGTCTGGTAGATCTGGAAGAACCCACAGAATGTCTGCTAGGGGTTTGCTTAGGTCGGTGTACCTCATCTGTTTTGGGCCAGTTTGGTGCCATGAGGATCACCAAAATGGCATTGATTTCAATTCATTCAGAGGAAAGACTGCATAAGTTAGGTTGTACTGATCCCAAGGAATAACAATCATCCACTGCTTCTCCCAGATGATCTCTGTATCTGGTGACAAACCTGTTCAACTTGTTGTTAAATCTGGAGGCTAGATGTCCACATCCAGTTTCTCACAATTGCCACAGAAGTCCTGAAACACCTCTAGATGTAGGGACCTACTCCCTATGAACGGCGGACATGGTTGGAAGGTAAAGTTCTGTCCAAGCTAAAATCCTTTCAACTTCTCTTATTGCAGCTAGACGTACGGTTCCTCCCTGATTGATGTATACCAAAACTGTGGTATTGTCCAACTGGATCCTGGTCGTTAGACCCTCCAGGCAGGGTGTCCAGCATTGTATAGACAACCACGTTGCTCAGAGTTTCACTATTTGATCAGAAAAAGGAGAGTCTCCTGGCAACAAAGTCCCCTAGACTGTCAAGGAGTCTGGGAACTGGGTATTTTTCTAGATAAATGCTTAGGAGGAGTGAAAAGTTTGCCTGGAATTTTCCAATTCCTGTACACAAAATGCTCAAGTAAGGGGAGTATTAGAAAAGTTTTGGGCCTCGGAGGGATCCCCAAATAGTGACATTATTAGCAGAGGCAATAGGCTGTTTCATTTTTGAGGTAGCTCGCACTGCATCAATAATAACCAAGATGGCATTTACATCTGGGAGTAATGGCAGCTGACTGCTGTTTCTCAGGAGCAAACTCATTCAAAAAGGATTTGTGAGACTCCTTCACAAAAAGAACATCTACAGCAGAAGGTTCAGGGGCTGCAATAGCTGCAAGAATGACAGATAATGACTTTGGAGCGCAAAGTGTACACTTTATACTAGACAAGTACACAAAAGTTGAGTCAGAGGAATGTGTTTACTCAAGCAGGGGACAATGGTCCAGGTTATCAGTATCAGGTTCCGGAGAAGGAACACTGCACACAGCCCTCAAACTGTTAGTGGATCATGAGCTGAAGAGACCCGAAGCAGTACCAGTGTCCCCTTTGTGCTTGTTATCCAACATGTTGCAGTGCTTAACAGAAATAAACCTAATAGATAACACTAGGTAAAAAAAAAAAACATTCGGTACTCAAAGGTTAATGGCTGGAGTTGACCAGTTTGCTGTAGGTGGCAGCAAGGACTAACTGAGGTAAATAAATAAAACGTATCACTTGCAGTAGGAGTAAAAGGCATGGTAAACATCCCTACCTGCACCTTGTTTTTAACCTGCATAAGATGTGCATTAATCAGTAGTTTCATTTTATCATTTATTGCCCTGTATGCACAGTCTATAGTCAAGTAAATCTTCACATTCCCGTGGTCACACGAGGCATTTGGCAATGGCTCTGCGAAGGTTAATGCATGACCTCTGTCTACCGTGTGAGACCTGACACTTCCTGTGAAGATTCCATGCTCTGAGGAAGGGGCAAATCCTCAAAACACGTTAGCCTATTAGAGGTCCAGTGTTCCTGTGGGGTTCATCGTAACAGGCAGAGCAGACATTGCTGTGTTCATGATGAGCTTTCTTATCATTGTAGTTTGAGAGTATATCACCATTTGTTACTTTTTTATCAATACATTTATTTAGGTAATGCACTAGGCCAGTGTGCCCTCTGTTTGTTTTCTTTACTTCCTGTGAAGAAACTACATATACCACAATGCTAGGGCAGTGGTCGGCGAGCCACATGCGGCTCTCTAGAAACTTTAATGCGGCTCTTGTGTGCCGGGCGCCCGCTCCCCTCCCTCCTCTCGGGTGGCCGCCCCAAAAGTCAGGACTCTGCAGCTAGCCCAGCAATGGGCAAACTACGGCCCGGCGGACCTTTTAATCCGGCCCGCGGAGCGTGGCAAACATTGGCTGCCAGGATGTAGGCGGGGCAGCGTGACGAACTCCTCTCCTCTCACAGTCCGCCCTGAAGACCGGAACGCGCGGGGAACACGGCGAGAGGAACGCGCGGAGCAAAGGTAAGTGAATTGACACAATATGGGAATGAATTACTACAGGGGGGATGAATTACTATAGGGGGGATGAATTACTATAGGGGATGAATTACTAATGGGGGATGAATTACTATATGGGGGAAGAATTACTATATGGGGGATGAATTACTATGGGGGATGAATTACTATATGGGGGATTAATTACTATGGGGGATGAATTACTATGGGGGATGAATTACTATATGGGGGATGAATTACTATATGGGGGATGAATTACTATATGGGGGATGAATTACTATATGGTCGATGAATTACTATATGGGGGATGAATTACTATGGGGATGAATTACTATATGGGGGTGAATTACTATATGGAGGATGAATTACTATATGGGGATGAATTACTATGGGGGATGAATTACTATGGGGGATGAATTACTATATGGGGGATGAATTACTATATGGGGGATGAATTACTATATGGGGGATGAATTACTATGGGGGGATGAATTACTATGGGGGATGAATAACTATATGGGGGATGAATAACTATATGGGGGATGAATTACTATGGGGATGAATTACTATATGGGGGATGAATTACTATGGGGGATGAATTACTATATGGGGGATGAATTACTATATGGGGGATGAATTACTATATGGGGGATGAATTACTATGGGGGATGAATTACTATATGGGGGATGAATTACTATATGGGGGATGAATTACTATGGGGGATGAATTACTATGGGGGATGAATTACTATATGGGGGATGAATTACTATATGGGGGATGATTACTATATGGGGGATGAATTATTATGGGGGATGAATTACTATATGGGGGGATGAATTACTATATGGGGGATGAATTACTATGGGGGATGAATTACTATATGGGGGATGAATTACTATGGGGGATGAATTACTATATGGGGGATGAATTACTATGGGGGATGAATTACTATATGGGGGTGAATTACTATGGGGGATGAATTACTATATGGAGGATGAATTACTATATGGGGGATGAATTACTATATGGGGGATGAATTACTATGGGGGATGAATTACTATATGGGGGGATGAATTACTATGGGGGATGAATTACTATGGGGGATGAATTACTATGGGTGATGAATTACTATATGGGGGATGAATTACTATATGGGGGATGAATTACTATGGGGGATGAATTACTATATGGGGGTTAATTACTATGGGGGATAAATTACTATTGGGGGATGAATTACTATGGGGGATGAATTACTATGGGGGATGAATTACTATATGGGGGATGAATTACTATATGGGGGATGAATTACTATATGGGGGATGAATTACTATGGGGGATGAATTATTATGGGGGATGAATTACTATATGGGGGATGAATTACTATATGGGGGATGAATTACTATGGGGGATGAATTACTATGGGGGATGAATTACTATATGGGGGATGAATTACTATGGGGGATGAATTACTATGGGGGATGAATTACTATATGGGGGGGATGAATTACATATGGGGGATGAATTACTATATGGGGGATGAATTACTATGGGGGATGAATTACTATATGGGGGATGTATTTTCAGTTTTAAAAATGTGGCTCTCAAAATAAATTTCAATCGTGGTTTTGGCGAGATTTGGCTCAGTTGAAAAAAAAGGTTGCCCACCACTGTGCTAGGGTATTTTAGTTTAGAACTGGTGCAGGAGGGAGCTACACAGTAATTAGATCTGACACAGACACAATCAGACAGTCTGTTCACAGACACTCATGCAGCTAGATGATGTGTTTAATTACGTGAACACTGCTACATTTATGATACAACAGAGAGTAGATGATGGGGCATGCATTGGATGCTCTGTGACCCAAAACAAGAAGTTGTCTTGTCACTTAGGGACCAGCTGGTTGAAGCAGTACCTGGACATAGGTAATCAATCAGCCATTACCCTACAAACTGCAGACAGAAAAAGACAGCCTGTCATTAAAAGGTAGGCAATAAACCCAGGGAATGTAACACCACTAATGCCTAGTTAATACAACAAAAAACCTTTGAAAGTGCACAGTGCCTTTAAGGTTAGAAACAGTGGAAAAAGGAGGGGACAGAGTAAGGAGCATGCATGCTCCTGGAGTTAGTAACGCAGCACAATATTCTATAGCTCATTTATCATTTCCATAGAAAACAACTGAATAAGAATAATTTATATATATATACACACACATACACATACAGTAACTCACAGAAGTGAGTACACCCCTCACATTTTTGTAAATATTTTATTTCATCTTTTCATGTGACAACACTGAAGAAATGACACTTTGCTACAATGTAAAGTAGTGAGTGTACAGCTTGTATAACAGTGTAAATTTGCTGTCCCTCAAAATAACGCAACACACAGCCATTAATGTCTAAACTGCTGGCAACAAAAGTGAGTACACCCCTAAGTGAAAATGTCCAAATTGGGCCCAATTAGCCATTTTACCTCCCCGGTGTCATGCTACTCAGTGTTACAAGGTCTTAGGTGTGAATGGGGAGCAGGTGTGTTAACCACTTCAAGTCCGGACACTTTCACCCCCTTCCTGTCCAGGCCAATTTCAGCTTTCAGTGCTATCACACTTTGAGTGACACTTTTAGTGACATGGTCATGCAACACTGTACCCATATGAATTGGTTAGCATTTTTTGAGACAGATAAAACTTTATTTAGTGGTATTTATTCACCACTGGATTTTTATTTATTTGCTATATAAATGAAAAAGTCCACACATTTTAAAAAAAAAAAAAGAAAAGTGTTTTTTCTTATAAAATTTTGTAAATAAATAATCTTTCTTCATGAATCTTGACCAAAGTGTATTCAGCTATCTTTTTAGTAAAAGAAAAATAACCTAAATTAGTTTATAACCAAAAATTATAATGTTTCAAAAACTTTTTTTACATTTTTATATTATTATTTATGTTTTTCTTTTTTAACATACTGTCACCCTAGCTGTACAGTGTTACCATAGTGACACTGTAAAACTTGTGGGGGTGATGAAGATTTTCTTTTTTCTCTTTTACACCGATTGCTTTTACACCCATAAAGGCTGTAATAGCAATCATTTCTCCTTCTCTCTGACTGCATTCTTGCAGCCATTGAGAAATTACTGTGAGGGCTGTGATTGGTCACAGCTTGTCACATGGTGCAAGGCTGTTGTGAATAGCCTTGTACCATGTGACCTCTGTGATCATTCACAGATTTCACTAGTAGTAAGCAATGATGTCAGCAAGTGACATCTTGCTTACTACTAATTCATGTGATCACTGATAGGCCAATATATACAGTTGTGTTCAAAATAATAGCAGTCAGACATCACTAACCTGATCAATCACTGTTTTTGGTAGAAATGATATTTCTACATGGAAAATAATTTACTAGCAGGTGTAGTAGAGTAATAGAAATCCAACAGACCCAACAGTCATGACACGCATGCTGCTGATTCTGTGGAATTGAATCACTAATTGAAAGGGGCATGTCCAAAATAATAGCAGTGTGGAGTTCTATTAGTGAGGTCATTCATTCTTTGAAAAACAGGTGCAACTATTGCCCTTATTTAAGGAAGGAAGGCAGCAAATGTTTGTACATGCTGGTTACAGTGCATTTCTCTCTGAAATTCGGAGGAAAATGGGTCGTTCCAGACATTGTTCAGAAGAACAGCGTACCTTGATAAAAAAGTTGATTGGAGAGGGAAAAACATATAAAGAAGTGCAGAAAATGATAGACTGCTCAGCTAAAATGAGCGCAAATGCTTTAAAATGAAACCAAAACCTGAAAATACGTGGAAGAAAGTGAAAAACTACCATTCGAATGGATAGAAGAATAGCCCCCAAAAATGGCAAGGACTCAGCCAACAATCAGCTCCCAGGAAGATCAAAGAAGGTGTAAAGTTACCTGTGAGTACTGTTACAATTAGAAGACGCCTATTTGAAGCCAAGCTATCTGCAAGAAGCCCCTGCAAAGTCCCACTGTTGAAAAAAAGACATGTGCTGAAGTGGTTACAATTTGCCAAAGAGCACATTGACTGGCCTAAAGAGAAATGGCGCAACATTTTGTGGACTGATGAAAGTAAGATTGTTCTTTTTGGTCTAGTGGCCGGAGACAGTTTGTCAGACGACCCCCAAACACTGAATTTCAAGCCACAGTACACTGTGAAGACAGTGAAGCAAGGTTGCGCAAGCATCATGATAAGGGGATGTATCTCATACAACTTGTGTTTGGGCCTATTAATACGCACACCAGGGATCATGGAATCAGTTGAATACGAACAGAATACTTGACAGAGGTCATGCCTGCCTTATGCTGAAGAGGAAAATGCCCTATGAAAATGGGGAGTTCCAACAAGACATCCGACCCCCCCACACACACCAGTAAACGTGCAACATTCTAGGATCCATGACTAAAAAGATTGACGTTTATGGGAGTGGCCAGCCCAATCCCTGGCTCTTAATCCAATTGAAAACCTGTGGGTGACATAAAAAATGCAGTTTTTAAAGGCAAAACCCAAAAAAAGAGAAGAACTGTGGAATGTAGTCCAATCATCCTGGGCTTTGGGTACCTGTTCCCGGTGCCAGAGTGGTTGATCAGCAAACCGATGTACAGCATTTTCCCGAAACAGTGCTTATACAACTAAAATATTAATTAAGTGATTCAAAGGAAAGCAAAAAACTTCAAACATTT